GCAAGCTGACTCCCTAATGGGATCTGGTGATGCGCCTGGATTTAAGTTCTCATTACCCATTTCCACCCACAGGTAACAGGTCTGCTTATTCGCCACGGGCAATTTCCTGCCCCATTACCTGTGAAAATCAGAGTAGCCAGCCCTTTAGGAGAGCAAAGGAGTCCATTTTCCCCTCTTCTTAAAATCATGATAAAGTAGCCCTTCCTCTCAGGCTGACTTCTGTGACTCTGAGCACCGAGTGTGGGGGACAGTAGTCAGCGCCTTCAAATGTGGGCAAGCAGATGGGCTGGCCCTCCATCTGAGGCAGGGCCTGGGTCAGCGCTCAAGCCTGTGACAGGGCTCTCCCCCTTCCTTCTGAGCAGAGAGTGGAGTCTGGTTCTCAGGGCAATTTTTCATTTATCACCTCCCAGGCCTTTGAATGGAGTAATAGCACACACTGTCCGGCCCCAGGCCCAGCACAGAGAGGAGCTTCTTACGCCGGGGCAGGCTGGCTCCTGACCCCTCACCACATCACCTTGCTGCCTCTCCCTGCCCTCCTCTTTCCTCTAAAAGTGGGTTAAAGAGGGCAGAGGCCCCATCTGCATCAGTTATTACTGCACATAACACATTACCCCAAGCGGAACAGCTATCACCTCCCACCGTCTGTGGCCGGCTCTGGTTCACGCAGGTAGGCGTGTGACTCAGGCATATCTGTGTGAAGCCCTGTGCTGAACAGTGTGCGGGGCCTGTAGCATTTTCTTTAGGGATAAATGTTGAAAGTGTTTCATAGAGCTAAATGTAGGGGTGCTCAGTGTAGTCTTGTGTTGTTTAAAGGAATGAGTTCTAAGAGATGTGGTATTAGGTGATTTCATCATGGGCAAATGCCAAGGAGCACACTACACAAACCGCAGCTAGCCGGGCCAGCCTGTGGGGGCAGCGTGGGTGGCGGGTGACTGACACATGCCTATGTGGACACACTCAGGAGTGGCTTGACCGGGTAGGTCCGACTCAGGGCCTCTCATGAGGTGGCAGACCAGGTGGCAGTCAGGGGCACAGTCTCGGCAGAAGGCTTGGCTGAGCCAGAGGACTGTTTCCAAGATGGCCTCTCACATGCTGGCAAGTTGATGCTGGCTGTTGGCAAGAGGCGTCAAGTTCTTTCCTCATGAGCCACTCTATAGGGTTGCCTGACTGTCCTTACAAGATGGTGGCTGACTTCCCTTAGAATGCATGGTCCAACAGGGTAAAGAAAAAGCTGACAACTCAAGGCTATCTCTTTTCAAAGTCCATGTCCTTTCTGGTCTACTAAACTGCCTACCTTGGGTAAGTGGTTGATTCTTCCCTAATAACAACCTTGTGATATAGATAGCATGGATGGTATTGTACCCATTTTAGAGATGAGAAAACTGTGGCCCTGGTTTTTAGTGACTTAATGGCAGTTGGTGGCAGAGCTGACATTAGAATCCATACTCTTGTCTTCCACTGGAATGCTCTACCCACCAAAAATGCTGCTTCTTAGGTAAGTGTTTGGAATGTGGGAGGCATGGGGTTAGGCTTGAAGCTCTGGGCTAAGCAGGGGAAGTTGTGCCATTTCTGTGGTATGGAGGGTGGCTGGAGTGACGGAGTAGGGTTGGTGGACTTCGTGTTAGCTGGGCAGCAGTGAAAGGGGCCAGGGAAGGGCGGGGCCTCCCTGCCTGCCCCAAGCCACAGCAACAAAGCAGATACATGCTTTGTGCAAAGCACACCAGTCACCCAGGTCCTCAAACTTCAAACCCTATAAAGTCCTGGGGATCATAATTATCCCCTAATAAGAACCCAGGAGGGAGGCAAAGTGGGTGGGCTTGAGTCTACTTCACAATTGAGGAAACTAAGGTCTGGAGACAGGTCTCCTTTCTCCCAGCCCTGTTCTCTACACTGTACCCACACCTTCCTACCTGCCCTGGCACGCTCCCCTTCCCCCATTGGCTTTTGTCCATAACAGTCTCCACACCTGATATTCTTTGTAATCTCATTAAAGCATCCCCCTACCCAAGCTCAAACACAGATTGGAGAGAAAGTGGTGTTGTGGGTTGGATGCTGTTCCTGACGCTTAGGAAGACGTCACGGCAGGCTCCCTGACTCTTCCCGACCCCGGACACAGGTGCAACCCTCCCTTCCATTTCCCAAGTAGGCAGACCGAGGCTCCAAGGTCTTTGACATGAGTCAAAGATCTGGAGGCACATCAGCCTGGGCCACAATCTCCAGAGCTACCTACATGCGATGAGGAGAGTAAGAGGAAGCCTTCCCTGCCTTGCTTACAGAGTGTGTGTGTGTGTGTGTGTGTGAGAGAGAGAGAGAGAGAGAGAGAGAGAAGGGAGGCTTCCTGGCATTGGGGGACACGTCCCAGAATCACTCCACTTCCTCTCCACTCGTCTCCATCCCCGGCTGCCAAAGGACAGTAGCTCATATCAACGATGGCCTAGGGACCCCAGGGCCCAACCCCAGAGCATCAGAGTGTGCCCAGGAGGAAAGGAGAAGCCAGAGTGGCATGAGCAAGCGCTCCATCCATAAGCACTGTCTGGTTCTGTGGTCGTCCTGGCAGGTGGGCTTCTGCTCTCTTCCCAACCTCCAGGAGGAGGCGGACTTCTCTGTTTTACAGATGAAGAAATTGAGGCCCAGGGAGATGCGGTAACTTGCCCCTCCCAGGGCCCACTCTGAAGCCAGCGCCCCTCCAGCATGTAGGCCCCAGGTTGATGACCACCGGACTTTCTCCCTCCTTTGTCATCTCAGGGGATGTGCTCTGACCTGTGGGTTCCTCAGCCCAAAGCTGTGATGAAACAAGCGGACTCGGGGGGCTAGTCTTGTGGATCGCTGTGTCCTGGCCCCCTAACAGGTACCTGCGTACCTGTAAACACTCACGAAGGGCCTTGTCCTAGTTTATGCCAACACGGGCCAGCGTGTTTGCATGCACACACACATACGCACACATACACACACAGGTGCTCTCCAGTGATCACCCACACACTCAACTCCACGGGAGTTCTAATCTTACAGAAACCTCTAGATGTTCGCTGGGAAAGCCCATTCTGTGGTTGCTAGGAAATACAGAGGAAAGAAGTCTGGTCCTTCCCGTCCCTCATGGATACAAATTCCACCCCCCACACTCCCCGTGGGTTTTCTCTTTCTCCCCCTGGGTTCGTTTGTTCCTCTGAGTCCCCAAAGGTTTCTCCTGTTTGCTTTGAAGGGAGGCAGGAGGTGAGGGGGGCAGGGGGAGGCAGCTGGGCAGCCCTGGGGTGGGGCCCACTCGGCTCTGTACCGCACTGGCGGCTCCTGCTGCCCAGCAGGGCTCTCGCTGGAAACAGCATCGTCTGACTGTTGCTATTGATTATGGCAAGATTGTGTGTGGCTAAGAGCTCCTCGGAGCCAACTGGTATATTAAGCAATCATTTCTATAGCAGATGACATAACTCCCCCGGCATCGGTTTGTCCTAATGGGCTTGGTATTACTCATGTGCTAATTGATTGGGCACGGAGGGAAGAAAAACTAAATTCACTTGTGAGGCGATTTTATGGCAGAGCTCATAACAGAGGTAATTTGCTGAAAATGTTCAGTCCCGCTTCGGTTCTGTAAGATCATCTGTGTTCCTGTGTTTTATCTCCTCCAGCTCAGGAAGCTGGCCTGGCTCTGGGAGGTAGACGCCACCGAGCAGGGTGCTGACAGCTCAGCGCTTTCTTCCCCCTTCCCTGGGAACATGGGCTGCCCTGGGGAGCGCTGACAATTAGTGCCTTCTGCACAGCCTTCTCGCCTCAGGGGTGGCTTTCAAAATATCTCAGCTTCTCCTGTTAAAAAATGACTCTGTCTGAGGGCAAAATAGTTATTTTCGGATCAGCCATCCAGAGTTACAAAGCTCTTGTTCAGAAAGAAAAAAGGATGAAGGAGATTATTGTTATTATTTTTTTCAGAGGAAGAATATTTTGCCTGGAAGAGGGCGGGGTGGGGAGGCTTGAAGAGGCTTGAGGGGCCTCCTCCCTCCCTCTCCTTCCCAGACCTCTCTCCCCCTCTGCTCCTCAGCTTCCTGACCCTCCTCCCTCTCTCCCACAACCTCTCCCTCCCCCACCCACTTCCCCTCTCTGAGGGCCTCCATTGGGCTTTTGTGCACACACTGGCAGCCCCACCCCATGCCAGCTGACATCGTGGAGGGCAGGGCCAGTGCTCCAGTCCTGTCTGCCTTGACTCCTAGGTGGCCATGACTGTCTCCAGATGTGTGCAGCTGGGTGAGCTCCCCTGGCTGTGACTTCCCACCCCAGCGGCTCTGTGCTCAAGTGTGTTTTGGGTCCCTCAGAGCAGGGAGGTCTTCTTAAGCTCAGTTGGGGGCTTGCTCATAGCTTGGAATTATGTTTCCGGAAGCAAAGCTGAGCTGCCCTGGGCAACCCCCAGGCTTTGCCAGCCCTGGAGTGTGATGTGAGGATGCAGAGGGAGAGACTGTACTGGTTTTGCTGAGGGAGGGGTGGCTGGAGGGACCTTCAGCCTGAGCGCATAGTAGCTCTTCCTCGTGATTATGACTGAGGTCTGTTGGGGTGGCCAGGCTGCAGTCATCACAGGAGGAAGTCAACACGCTGCCTTTCTCAGCATCATTTCAGACCGGCCATTTGGAACCCAGAATGCCCCGCTGGCCGCAGGCTGCCCAGGAGGTTCCCCAGTTTCACTGGATCTGGGACTTGTCCAACCCTAGTGGTGGTGCTTGAGACCTCCCTGGCAGATGGCCAGCTGCTTCTGCCTGACCGCCTCTAGGCTGCTGGCTTCCAGTTTCCCCAGAAAACCCATTTCATTTCACCTCGGCATTTCTAACTCTCAGAAAATCCCTGCCTGGGGCTTTGGGACCTCACCTTTCCAAGGGATGAAACCTCGCAGACTGGTCCTGATGGGAAAGGTCCTTTACTTTGGCCCATTTTTGTGACCTATCCGGAGGTGGCCATCCACATGTGGGATGAGCTTTGATTGTGTGGCGGGCGGGGATGTCCCCACAGAGGCTGAAGATGAACCTTTCTTGAGATGAGATCCAGGCTTCTCACCCCACCTCATGTTATAGTGGAAAACAGCAGCCCTGAGGGGGCAGGGCTGGCCCAATCACAGATAACACTGAAACTAGAACTCAGCTCTCCTGAGCTCAAAAGCCATGGGAGACCAAACTCCACTCTTCCAGGGGTGACTCTGATCTCTGGATTAACCCCAATCCTGATCCAACCCCAGTAAATCAGTCCTGTCACGCTGATGGAGCTGATGGAGGCATCAACTCTGGACAGATGGTATTCCCAGAATCCCATCCCAGTCTGCCCCAGCGAGGGCTCCCAGCTAGGGCAGTGCTGTGTGACACTGGACTATTCAATTAGCCTCACTGAGATCCCATTTCATTTCTGAAGCAGGTGATAAGTAGTAGCTGACATATATTGAGCACTTACTGTGGATCAGGGGTAGTGTGCTGTGCCTAGCTTGGTGAACTTCTTTTACCCTAACCCTCACGATAGCTCTATGTGGTTGAGACCACTGTGATCCCAATTTCAGACAGGGAAACTGAGGAGACAGAGCAAGTAGCAGCACTGACTGGGATGAAGCTCAGGTTGGTACTCCCGACCATTAAGTTATAGCCTGTTCTCCGCATGGTTGTAAGATTTAGCGGACCTCATGGGTGCTTACAGGGGTGGGTTCAGTGACACCTTGGTCCAGAATCTTATTGCTTAACCATTTGGGGGTAGTTCAGAGATCTTTGAGGGTCTCCTGTACCTTGGAGTCTTCCCAGATAAATTCAATATATACATGCATAGAGAATTTCACTGACAGACAGCCTTGGGGGAATCAAGCAGTCCCTTGGTAAGCGCATGGATCTCTGGATAAGGATCCTTACCCTAGTCAGTGTCTCCTATCAACTGAATGGGAAGGTTGGGGGTACGAAGGCAGCTTAAGCTCTGAGGGTGAGAAGGAAGGAAGGTTCCTTAAGGTGTCTGAGACTTCTAGGGCAGTGGGAGGAGCTTTCTGGGTCACTTTGACTTGGCCAGGCAGCTCTAGCAGGCCCCGGCATGGTGGCTCAGCACTCCTCTGGGCATTTTGGCACTGGCCTGGTGAGTCTGGTGGGAGTCATGGGGTGGAGATGACAGGGAAACACAGCACATCCCGGGATTTCAGGGAGACAAGAGGGGAATGTGGGGGCAGGTGGGGAGAGGCAATGATTTTATCTGCACCTGGATTTCCCCATCCCTAATTATCCTGTGATAATTAATAGGTCTAGAACATTTGCCTCGGAGCCAAGCTAGTGAGTAGTGAACACGGAAACAGAGGGGTCTGATTGCTTAACCTTGAAGGGGCAGTTTCATGAGAGAGATGGGAGTCATCCGCCTGTACAGGGTGGTCGTGGGACTCTGGGATCATTTCATTCCCAAATGAAAATGATCAGCTTCATGCTGTCTGTCTGAAATGCCACCATTGCAGATACGCCACCCAGGTCCACAACGACAGGCAGCTATACATGCAGCGCAAGCATCCCTGGGGAAGGGTCTGCCTTAAGCTGTTACCAGTGTTAAGTTCAGTGGGTTTTGTTGGGCATCTCTTGAGTACAAGTTCCCATGAGGGAGGATTGGAGGGAAGCAGCAGGTGGGGGTCAACAGCATGAGCTTAGGAGTTCTAGCTACTTTCTTCTCGGTGACCTTGGGAATCTTCCAAGCTCTCTGAACTCACTGGGAAAGGCAGTTACCATAGCGGTACCATAGTGGCTATCGGGAGGATGAAATGAGAAGCTTAAAGGCTGAGCCTGAGTCAGGGCGGCAGAAATCCTCTTTGATGGTGACCATTACCCCATGGTGAATCGGAGGGTGGGGGGTATCTAGAGACATAGGAAACACACTGACAGACTGCACAGAATGCCCTCTGAGCCCACAGGTCTGCTTGGCTCATCTTTGGGGCAGCATGAACCCCAAAGGTCAGCTCACTCTTACCTTCAAATGTCCCTGTGGCTGGCCTCTGCCTCTGAGAGAGAGAGAATAGTCTGGAAAGAGATCTGGCAGTGCTGAGGGTATACAGAGAGCAGGGTGGAGCTGGAGAGAGGGAGCAAAGGGTTAAAGGCAAAGCTAGGAGGAGGGAGGTGTGAGGGCTGGGCGGGACCATCAGTCATGGCCTTGAAGCGGCTGCAGTGGGTTCTGGGCAGGAAATTAGTGGCCTGTGGGACTGGATTTAAACAGTGGACAATAAATGATCTGATAACTTCCTTTGTAAATGCCATGCCTTCTGCCAAGATTATAAGTTCTATGGGGGTAGGTGTCTCCTCTCCACCCCCACTTCTATATTCCCGACATCTGGAACAGACTCTGGTACAAAGTGCCTGACTAGTAATGTCTCTTGCATGAGTATGTTTGTGTATGAACTCTCTGCTCACACAGGGGCCAAGTCTCGCCTTGAAGGCAGGAGAGGTCCCCACTGCACCCCCAGACCCCAACTGCTAACTGCTGCAAGTCTGCACACAGAAGCCCTCCAGCAGCAGGATGCTGGGTCCAGGGCCTGCAAGACCAGGACTCACTACCTACCCAGCCAGTGGGCAGGCAGGTGCAGCAGCCCGGCGTGGCCACATGGTGGGGAAAGATTCCCTTCCTCCACTTCCTCCCTCTCCAGGCCAGGCCCTGCTGCTGCATCCCTCTCTCCCTGTGATGGCCACCTGTCTGTGGTCCTTCCCTTACAGGCCACAGAGTCCTCCTGGACAGCTTCCTTCCCAAGCCTACCTTGGGTTGTGTGGCTTCCTCCCAGGCCCATTGGGGCACATCACCCTTGAGCTGTCTGGGCTCACCTGGGCCTTTACCTTCTCAGGGAGAGGATCCCGGTTTCCCACTGTTGTTTAAGAAGCAGCCCCCATGGTTGCACAGCCTCTTTGCCGTGCCGGCCAGCTGCAGGACCTCAGCAGCCTGAGTTTATCATTCAGCAGTGCCTTTCTCCAGTCTCCAGCCCAAGTGCTAATGCTGTGTAAACAGGTATCCATTCCATCGCTGTGTTCCATCCTCTCCCAGTGCCCTCTGTGATCCTTCTGCCCTCAGGGCTGCTGTTTATTTACCTGTGTGGCCTTTGGGTACAGCGGGGGCAGGCCCTCCTGGATGGATGGGGTCCTCCCCTGAGTGTGGAGATTCTGCGGTTGGAATCCGATCTGGAGCCTGAAAGGCCAAGTGGGCTGGGGGAAGCCAGGTGACCTGGTGTTTGACACTCGATCCTAAAGAAAGCTGAGAGTTTGGCCCTGAGACCACCTCTTATTCAGATGTGCAAGTTTGGGACATTTGTGTGGCACCTTTCCTCATCCTCCCTGTCACTCTTTCCTTTCTGCTGGTGGTGTGGGTGGGGTGGTGAGGGGAGCCTGCACCTGTCTAGGCCTAGGCTTCAGCCCTTAACCCTTCTCCACCCACCCAAGACAACTGGCACTTGCCCCATGCCCTCCAGGCACAAGCTAATGGTGGGAAAGCACCTGTAAACAGCACTGTGCAGGTCTGCAGCAAGTATTGCTACACGGCAAGAGCCAGCCAATTAATGCTGCACCCCCTCCCACTCCAGCTCTCCTGCTGCCATCGCGGTAGAGGGTCTATGCCCCATCTGCAAGGAGGGTGGCCCTGATGGTGGAGACTTAGGGAGTGGAAGTGAGGCTATGGTCTCAGGGTGTTTTCCCTTGGATTAGGAGCACAGAGATTGAGGTCCAGCCTTGGCAAACCCACTGCCCAGTCCTGTGACACCAGGCAGGTCTTCCTTTCCTGTGTCCTGTGGTCTGGACGTGGTTCTTTCCAGGGGAGGTTATTCCTGGCCTCCTGGGAATGAGAGCAGAGGCCTAGGGGAGAGCCTAAGGGTCCCCAGTGGAGGGTACAGAGGGACGGAGCAAAGCACCCAGGAGCATGCCAGGACTTGGAGACTCTGGTGGTACCCAGTGGGGTCTGGAATCCTGCCAGGCAGTGGGTGCTGCTGTTTGGACCAATTCCAGCCCCAATCCCTGAGAAAGAGCCACTTTCTGCCAACTGGAGCCTCTTCTCGAGCTATTTTCTCCATTAGGATCTCTTCCCCCACCTCTCCGTAGGCACAAATACTACCTCTCTCACCCCTTCCAAGAACCTCTCCTGATTGTCCAGCTGGAGGGGTTTTTCCCTTTCTCTCTGTGACCTTGTAGAGTTGACTGTCTCCCAGAGTTCAGCTCCTATCCCCTCTGAGTGAACAGCTCTGCGGTACAGAGCAGATGCTTAACAATGGCTCAAGTGCCCCCACATCGGAATGTTAGTGATACAACAATCACACAAGCAGAGGGTGCCCAGAATGTCTTCACCTCTGGAGTTCTTGGCCTCATACTTTTACTAGACCTTTGAAGGTTCTACAATGACTCCAGGAGAGGAATGCACAGCCAGGACAGCCGAGTTCTCATCATGACCTCAATGCCACCAATAGGATAGTTGGGGTGCTGCAGGTATTCTCTTCTACTGATGAGGAAGCTGAGGCTCCGGCAGGTTAACAAGTCCTCCAGGACACCCCTAGTATCTGAAGAACTGGACCTGGAACCTGGGCCATTGAACTTGTCCTACTAGTAGGGAACAGTGATATGTGGCCTGGGACTTAGATGGTGCAGAGCCTCTGGAGGCAGGGGTCATTTTACAAGCACATCTTTTTAGGGTTTTTGCTGTTATTGTTGCTTAATAAGTAAAAGAAAAGGAAAGAAAAGAGCAGTTATCTGTAATCCACCACCCAGATAATCCCTATGACTTCTTTTTTAAGTAAAATATTCATTTCAGGAAGGCATAAAATAAAACAGTCTCTTTGTTGCTTTTCCAGTCTCTCCCAGGTAACTGTCAACACTTTGTTTTTTTCCACTAGGAGATATAAGGCAAGGGATACCTAACAGTGTTGATATTTCTAAATACATATGCACAATAGATTAATATTTATTTGTTACCAAGGGATCGGCTCTCTACCCAATATTCATAGACCAGATTATGACGGCAGGGCTTTTGAGAAGAGAAAGAAGCTTTATTGCTAATTGACTGGCTAGGAGGTAGGAGATAATCTCAAATCTACCACCCCAGTTAAGAAAGGGAATGAGATGATAGAGGTTGGGGGGGCTGGAGTTGAGAACGAAGGAATTGTACTTTATTGGCTAAGGTGGGGTCAAAGGGCAAAAGACATAGACTTGGCTAAAGCTCATCGGCTGGTCATGGGGCACTTCATCCACACAGATGCACGAAGAGGCTTTTCTTCATGTAACCGGGTTTGCATTTCTGTCGGCGGACCCTTACCTCTTGGTGTCCCCTCTGCTGTGTTTGCAGTCTCTTCACTCTAGCTGGCCTTGCAGCTCAGCTCCCAATTTGGAGATAAGCCTTCGGGCTCTGCTGTGCCTGTAGAAGCAACTCTCAGAGAAAAGGTTAGATAAGTTTTTGTTTCTCTCTTTTGGTCTCTTAGGGCCCGAGACCAATTGACTTCTTAGTCTCGCTTACATTTCCTTACATTGAAAGGGTTTTATAGTACTCATTGTGCTACGCATTGCAGTTTTCAAGTGTCTTATGTGTTCTGTATGTTTATCTGTATATATTCATGTATATTTGTGTATCTTTCCTGACATTCAAGCCTCTTTCTGTTAATGGTTGTATAATAATCCATTATATGATGGCCTGCACTTTATTTAACCAATCCACAGCCTAGAGATTGTTTCCAGTTCTCCCACTACACAAATGGGTAACTATTAACGTAAAGCTCTGACCTTTGATTAAAGTTGTTGGTGCCAGAAAACCTTTACTGTGCTGTGCCCCTGATGTATAATAATAATGATGTCAGTAATAGTAGCACATACCACACTGATGATGCTCTGGGCCCAGTTATATTACATATAACTTACACATATCACTCATTTGATTTTCATAGCAATCCTAGAAAGTAGGTTCTAGTATCCTTCCCCTTTGGCAGATAAGGAAACTGAGGCACAGAGAGGGACAGTGTCTTGCCCAAGGTCACATAGCTAGTCTATTAGCTCGCTGGAGCTGCCACAATAAAAATGGCAAGAACCAGACATGTATCTTATCACTGTTCTGGAAGCTGGAAGTGTGAGGCCTTCTTGGCTAATAGGTAGCGTCTTCTCCCTTCTCCCTAACCGCCGAGGCTCCAGTCCTGTGAGATTCAGGCTCACTCTAATAACTTCATTTTACCTTAATTTCCTCTTTAAATGCCCTGTGTCCAGATGTAGTCATATTCTAAAGTACTGGGGTTAGGACTCTAACATTTCAATTTGGGGAGGAGGGCGCGATTCAGTCCACAGCAGGTGTAAGTAGCAGAGCCAGTACTCAAAGCCAATCATCTGTGCCAGGGTCACGTTCTAGACCAGTTCTAGTCTAGGCTGGGAGCAGGGGACAGCAGCACTTCTTTGGGGGGAATAGCAGTACTTCTTTTTGTTTGTTGAGTTCAGGTAAGATTCACATAACATAAAAGTAGCCTTGAAGTGTACAAATCAGAGGCAGCAGAGACATTCACAGTGCTGCACAGCCATCACCTCCACCTGGTTCCAGAATGTGCCTCAGCCCCAAAGGAAACCCCATTCTGTCTGCCGCCAGCCCCTGGCCCCACTCCTCTGCTTTCTGTCTCTGTGGACCTGCCTGTCACAGATCCTTCCTTAGGTGGAGCCACATCACATGTGGCCTTTTTTTGTCTGGCTTTTCACACAGCATGAGGTATATGAGGTCCATCCTTGCTATGGAAGGTGTCAGGACATCCTCCCTTTTATGTTTGAGTAATATTCCCTTGTAGCACTCCTTTGACAAAATGCAAGGGGTGCTGGTCATCCACCTCTGAGCGGGGCTTTCCAGGTGGGTACGGGGGCATGTGCAGGTGAAAGATTCTGAGAGGAGAGAGATAAGAGAAGAGGGGAGGGAGGGAGGGAGAATGACCACACCTGGTCAAGGATGATTCCAAGCAGCAGGGCTCAAGCAGATGTGGCTCCAAGCCAGAAGGGCGTGTTCGGTGAAGTTCAAGGGTCAGGACAAGGTAACAGCAGAGTCAGGGGGCCCACACTGGGCACAGGCCTCAGAAGTCACACATTTTTGTCTTGAACTTCCCCTTTTCTCAGAATGTTCCTTTTTTCACACACTCTTTGGCAAGACTGGCACCTCTGCAGATCTGTAAAGACACCCCCCTCCCCAGTCCTCGCACTCTGCCCCCACACTTTGGAGGGGGCTTCCTCCTTCCTTCTGCTGAAGGAGGTGGGTGCCTGGCAGGGTCACTTCAGGAGCTGGTTCAGAGAGGCTGGGCCCCACTGGCTAGGGGCTGGCCAGGGCTGGCAGATGTGAAGATGGGATGCAGCCTCCCTCCCATAGAGGGCTTCCCAAAGAGGGCACCATGGATACAGGCACCTGTTCTCCCTGGGGTCCCAAGCACCACTTCTCCAAACCTCGGGCTCAGCCTATGTCAAACCGGGGAGTCAGACCAACCAAAACATTGGCTCATGTCCCCATGTCGAAGGCTTTTGATGTTCCAAGTTTGTTTTAGTTTTGTGTTTCGGGGAATGACAGATTCCCTTCCAATTCAAACTGGTTTGCGCAGCGTCTTTTATTCTCCCTGTGCTGTCGTGAACGTAGGTTTGGTAAGAGGCTCACGAGAGAAAGTCCTACATGGCTTTGGCTCAAGGATCGGCAAACATGTGCAGTTAGTCCTGGTCTGGGCTTGAGGCTCTGGTTCAGAGAGAGGACAAAACTGCCATTCACGGAGTGGGGGAAAGGCAGTGACACCCCCGAGGCCCCCGCTGGCCCAGCCAGCCTGCGCTGCAGTCAGACCAGGAACCCGGCCCTCAAACCCCAGCGAGTCTCCAGAGACCAACGCTCTTTGATTGATTTTGAAACTGTGACAGTAAAACGGTTAATAAAAACCCGATAGATCTGTGCAGAGGCGCTTTCCACTCCGTACAGCCCCGCTTAAATGAGCGCTATTCATCACAGCTGGGCCCACATGCCCAGGGCGCCTCGCACAAAGGAGGGGGCTGTGCAGCCACTGACTGGCTCCTGCAGGAACCCCCAACTTCCCCTGTCTGTGCTCAGCCCCCAGTGAAAACCAAAGTGTCTACCTCTACTGACCCAGAGGTAGACACTTCAAGGCAATTGTTTCTTCAAGGCAATTGTTCTCAGAGTGGGGTCCCCAAGTTAGCTGCTGCTTCTCCACCTGGGAGTATGCCAGAAATGTGAATTCCTGAGCTCTATCCCTACTTGCTGGCCCCCAAACTTGGGGGTGGGACAAACAGACCTCAGCTCTGTTTTAACAAACCCTCCAGGAGTTTCTGATACAAACTCCAGTATGCGAATCCCTGATCCACAGAGCCCCCTCCATGTTCCAGATCTCCAGATACCTGGGTTTTCAAACCTTACATTCCCCCTTGGGCAAAAAATATCTAACAAATTCAGATAACACTAAAATTGAAAGTTTCATCCTATAGGGACAGGAGTTTACATTGGAATAGAGGATAAAACACTGACTCTAACACTGGAGGTTAGATGTGAGCAGCCAAGGGGGAGACCCTTTGGGGGGTGGGTGAAGGAGCTCTGTGCCCCAACTCCTCCTGCTGCCTTGGAGAACAGGAATGGGAGAGATCGGAAAGCATGGAGAATATGGGTGTGTTTTCTGGAGCTAGATCCCAAGTCAGCTCCAGGCTGTCTGCCTGACCTCAGGCCAGTCACTTCATCTCTCCATACTTTTTAGTTCCCTCATCCGAAAACTCACAGTATTACTCACAGTATTACTTATTACTCCTGTAATAAGAGGACCCATCTCATGGGGCTGCTGTTAGGTACCAGGTCTTGGCACAGGGCTCTGCCCTCCACCAGGGATCACAAGGGCCACTCACACTTTCAGTTGCTCCCCTGAGGTCCAGGATTCCCATTTCTGCAAAAGGTTCAAGAGGACTCTCGGAGAAGCAGGAAATCCAGCCAGGCTGAGGTGGCGCCATGCCCCATCACTGCCTCTCTGGCCCTGGGTGGGAGAGCAGATTCTGACAGTCACTGGTCCCTGTTACCACAGACAGCACCCCACAGGACTGCTCCCACCCTCGGCATCCCAGCGGACTTAAGAAAAGCAAGAGCTAACAGGAGCAGGGAGGAGAGAGGAAAACAGATGGAGGCAAGGGGCAGGGGCATGAGAACGAGAGGAGAAGGGGCCGGAGGAAGAAAGGCACACAGAGCAGACCCGGAGACAGACGGAACGGAACAGAACAGGAGACAGAAGTGGAAAGCAACAAGCAGACCCCTTTCCTTT